CTGTAACTGCAGCAAGGCGTGGCTGCAGTGAATCAGGTCAGCATACATGAGGCCAGTCAGGCCCTCAGTATTGACAAATGTTCCTGTTTCTTGGAATTCAGTCGTCACTGGCTCCTAAAAGAACTGAAAGGCCATACAATAAGCTCAGAGTTCATGTTTTTTTCTTCTTGAAAGTGATATTTCATGAGGCAAGCAGTTGCAGTTCTGAAATGAAGACAGAGCTGACATATATTTAACCATATATCTGGCTCCCATACAATAGAATCAGAAAACACAGATAGTATCTCACTTAACCAGCAGTGTTTTTCCTGCTGTTTTATTTTTTCAGTTCTAGATGGGTCTAACAGTTGAGGGAGAGCAAAAAACCAGTGCAAGTGTTTCCGCCACTGTCACCCAGAGGGTCCTCCGGAGGAACTACTTTTTGTCATTCTTCACCTCAAGCAAGGCTAGGTGAAAAGAGGGAGAATAGTTTTGTTTCTGACACTCCCCTACTGTTCAGTGTTGACTTACCTTGGCTGGGCAGTCAGCTTCAGTCAGGGAACTGATTCTCTTTTCAATACCTTGGAGTAACTGCATCAATGTGAAAGGCATCACACTAGTGAAAAAAGTGACGTAAATGGAAGGAGAATTAGGTCTGTAGTCTTGGATCACAGGAGAATCTCTTTTTTTACTTTTTACATGGCTTCATTAATGCCTGTGTAATTACCACTGAAAGTAACTCTAGGAGCACTTGGCCAATGTTATAGACAGATCACTATCTCTAAAAGGAAACATTCAGGGTTTATTTTTAAGAGCTCTGGGCATCTCTCAAGCACCTTGCAGGCATGGACCTAAGAGCATCAAAAGAGCTCCATGGAGGTGCCTGGAAAACTTTGTATTCATTGACCCCAAGAGGAGTAGAGAGCCATCAGAGTTGAGATCTTAAGCTTCACAGATCTTGTTTGGTTGCTAAACACTGGGCATATCTATATAAGACGCTTACTGCGCATTAGCCTAATAACACTGCTCAGTAGCATGATGGTTAAAAACCATGCTAACAGTCTACTGTGCAGTGTTATTAGGGTAATGTGCAGTAAATGTCACAAAATAACCATGCACCGGTGCTACTGCTCAGTAACTGCAGTTACTGCACATTTAGTTAGTACTTTAATAAGCAAGTACTAAACTAAATGCACAGTATCTAAGGTGCAGTAATGAACGTGTAGATGTGCCCACTGTGGGTTACATAGGTACAGAGAAGTTGAGGGACTGATGATGCAAAAAAAAAGGGTTAGGCCCTCCTGCCATAATTTTTACATGTGGATGGTGAGGTTTAGGCATCTAGGGCTATATTTATGAGCCTAAATGTGCTTTTGGTTGCCTAATTTTAGATGCCTAAATTTGAACCTTTTGGCTTAGGTAAATTATCCAGCATCAGTCAATGAGTCAGTAGCAGAGTCAAGAACAGAGGGCCAGAAATCCCAGGCCTGTGCACTGAAGCTTTGTGTCAGCAATGACAAACTTGCTGCATAGTTAAAGACTCAGAGGCTAGACTGCCATGGTTATGTGTGTTTGTGTTTCACACAACTAAGTAGCACAGTGCAGCAAATGTGTGGGATTTAGATGACTTGGTGACATTTTAACAATTTTCCCCAGTACCAGCATCAAGCTTTACCTTTGCATACCTTCCAACAGTTATTATTCTGGACATGCCTGTTAGAAATTAAATGGAAAACTGTTTCTCCCCCTTTCCATTTTTAAATTCATCTGCAAGAAAATGTTAGTGCAAGATTGCATATCTGTAAGATTGCCGTTCAGTCGTGAACTTATCAGGGTGTAACAATTTAGATGTAGTTAAGGCATGAAATATGAAATATCATGCTCTGGAATCCAAGAGAAAGAGCTCCAAAAACATATCCATTTTACATCTCCTATTTTTACCCTGTTTTTTTGGATACAAAGATTATGCTATCGTGTTCAGTGTGAAGAAATTCCAAGCTTCTTTGACAAGAATTATTAAAGCAAAGTTTGCAAAGTCAAGTTTCCTGACCTCCAGTCCCCCAAAACAGAGAAATACCCCAGGCCTTCAGCTTGTGCAATTTAGAACCACTGACTTAGATTGTGCAAACCAGTATACCCCAGTTGGGCATCTGGTGTACTTTTCAGTGAAGTTAAAGAAGCAGACACTTGTATGCATCTGGCCATACAAATTATTTACCATAAGATGTCAAAGTGTTTGGCCTATATTTATTCTTTCTGTAACCCAAAAAGATTATTGTAAAACAGGATGCCTAACTTTGGGGTAATAATATTCTGATTTCATGCTTTTTATTTCTTATCTTGTGGATCCAACAGTTTCTTTTTAATTGGTTTTTAGAAACACATGGCCAGAGCTTTTTATGATAGCTTTTCTCCTAAATCTTACACTAACTTAGATTGCATAGAATATCCATTACTGGACGTTTTTAAGAACAGGTTTGAAAAGCACTTGGTTAGTTTAGACAGGGATAATCCTGCCTTGACCAGGGGTTGAACTAGATGACCTCCTGGTATCACTTCCACCCTGTTTCTATGATTCATTGATTTGAATTGGTCCAGTTGAAGTTCAATGTGGACCTTCCACTTAGAAATGGATTTTGATTTTCTCATAAGCAGCCATATTAAGGCAAAGCTAAGATCAAAGAAATGGGTGCTGATTAGGAGCCACCCTTGCCAATCAGTTACATTTCTGTTTTGTAAAAAGCTCAAATGTTCCAGGTGTGTCACCCCAGCCCCTGACTCTGCGGCAGAACAGACAGTTCATCTTAGCAAATTGTTACTTGCAGGAGTAAAAATTATCAGTAGTGCCTAAGTCCCTTACCTCCTGTTAAGCAGGGACTAAATGAAACAAAGGAGCTATGTAGTTCATGGCAGAAACAGTTTTTCCATCTGCTTACTTTCTCCTTTCTCCTATTGGACACTAAATTCTTGCTTCTACTCTTCCTTTCCTTGACCTACCTTCAGCTTTGCCTCTATAGCTGGTGACTGTTATTTCTCTCTTTATGAAACTGCATAAGAATTAGAGACAGGAAAGGTCTATTAACTCTTCTAGTCTGTCCTCTCTCTTATATTTATCCTGAAGTCCTTTGGCTACCAGTTTAAAGTGATTCATTTAACACTACTCCTACAACTTCCTTTAAGAGGCTGTTCTACAATCTCATAGGTGCATCACTAGTCCAACTGCTTTCTTCCTCTTACATTCACTCGTTTAAACCTAGGTACCTGCCTACAAACAGTCCAAAACCACTCTTTTGTTTCTACCTTATATTTAGATACTTGTAGATGATCTTCATGAAAGCATCAATGTCATTAGGGAAGAGAAAGAACAATTAATTGAAAGCACATCCCGTGTGAAGGGAATACATTTATACATTTATGGCGGTACATGTATACATTTTTGGCTATTTATACATTTCTGGCCAAAGCGTTCATAGGGATCTGACCCATTTACTGCTTTCGGTAGTCAGGGAGCCAGAAAGCCAAAAAGAAGTACCCATATTATAAAGGGTTTGATAGAACCTCTACCACCAAACCGTTGATGGCGCATTCCCTAGGCTGTCTTGGCTGTGGGAGCATACACATGGCTATTCTTAGCCATGGAAGAAGCTGCAAAGCATTGGTTAAATGAGAGCAGCTCTGATCTGAGCAGGCCTGTGGAGGGGCCAGAAGTAATAGGAATAGCTCAAAGATTGCATAAAGCCACCTTCCATCTGCCTGGCCTCCAAAGTCCATGCTCAGGCATCAGTCAGGGAAACTGAGGATGTGACTCTTTTGCCTTAGGCAAAAGGGTGACAGGAAGCAGTTTCATCATTTCCTATCTATTTCTCTCCAACTCCAGGTATTCTGCAGCCTTCCTCACCACAATATATCATTTAATCAAACTACACATATTTTAATTTTCCGTTTTCTTAGGATTACATTACTGTAAACTAGGAATCACATTACCTTATGCCAAGAAAGGAGCCACTGACTGTGCAGCATGAAGCCTCAATGCTAACACTGTCTCTCGTGTCCTATGACATGTGACATGGGGGTCATCATGGTGCAATGAATATCTCATGTGCATGTAAATCAGGAGTGACTGCACTGAAGTCAGTGGCTGTGTCAGCATCAGTAAGCGCTGACCCCAGCCCAGGTTCTATCTCATTCTTTTATTGGTTGATCAGAGGGTGACATTTTAGGATTGTAGGATAGTATGGCTGGAAGGCACCTCACAAGGTCATCTTGTCCAGCCCCCTAGTCCAGGCAGGATCAGCCCAACTAAACTATCCCAGCCAAATAGCTGTCTAACCTGCTCTTTAAAAATTCCAAGAATGGAGATTCCACAATTTCTCTAGTTAGCCTGTTCTCTAGGTAGTCTGTTTTAATCCTACTGGACTGAATTCCTCTCAGTTAACTCAGTTTGCTATAGTAACTCAAAGCCTATCTTTGTCATATAACATTTAAAACCATTGTAAAGGGAACTCCGCAGAATAAAGAAAGCCAAAGAACTAATCAGTGTTAGTACTTCCAGTGACTGAAAGCTGAAGCTGTAATTGCCATAAAAAGGAGGGGAATTATTATTATTATTATTTTTAAATATGTTGCATTTGCAAGTTGCAAGAATACTTTTTTAATTAACAACTTACTACAGAGTCTGATTTGTTTATACCACCAAAGCTTGTACACTGCCATGGAATTTGTCCTTCTTTTCAAATCAGTGATCATAAAATACCTGAAGTGTCACAAAGCTATGTTTTGCTGGATCCTGGCAGCAGTGAAGATTCTGCAAGGCATTAAACAACTGAATTCAGTGGGAGCTGAGGACCTAAAGAGTTTTGTATGTCCAGTCTTCAAGCCTGTAGTAGATCTGTGGTTAAGAACAAATCCATGTTGTGGACAAAAGTCATTTGTAGGTAGGGCTTTTTGAGCATTGAGACAATTTGTAAGTTTGACTTTGCTGTTAAACTAAGCTGTTAGCGCTGAAATAAAAATCTACTTATCTTTATGTAGTGTCCATAGAAGCAAGGAAAACTTTCACAAAAGCTATCACACAGTTGCCTTTACAGTCTGTAAGTACATGTGTTCTAGGGTTGGATCATTTGCATTTAGTAGCTGAAAAAAAGCATTTGTACTTGTCATAAATATCCAAGAAGGTGGGATGAACAACCCCAGAAGTCAGTCCCTGTGACTAGGGACAGACATTATACATTATACGGTTTAAGTGATCAGAAGCTGGTTTAAACCTGTAACAGAACAGATGTTCAACACACATAAACCAGTTTGAAAATGGCTGAAACTGGTTTGAGATAAGCCTGGTTGAATGTAGTATTAGACTTAACTGATTTGGGTCAAACCAATTTATGCAATGCCTGTCCCAGACCCCTTGCTGGTCTAAGATAAACCAGACTCCCTCAGCATCCTGGCATGCTCTCTGAGTTGGCCCCTACCCTCTAGGCTCCCGGGCTGAAGCTCTCACAAGACTGCAGGCTGCTTTTCCCCACCCCTTGCTAAGCAGGAATTCCCCCCTCCCCTCTGCCTTGCAGAGAGATATCTGTATATTAGCTAGCAGACCACATGTTGGCTATAGTCCATGCTGAATCAAATAGAATCAACAGGTAGCTGGTAATGTCCCTCTGTTGTTTTCTTAATGGGGTGATAAACACTGTGTTATCAGTTCCCTGCTGGGCTAATCAGAGCATCCTGCTGGAGCCTGGCAGTGCCTCCCTCAGCTTAGTGTTGTGGAAGCAAGGGAGGGCTGTTCTAGCACCTCTGGCTTCTAGCCTGAGCCACTGCAGGCATGTGCTGGCATTTCTGGGATGTCTGTCTGGTTACAAAAGTGACTTAGCCAGGCAAAGATTGAATCTATTCAGGCTCAGGCTTTTTAAATGTCTGTCTCTAGCCTGTGTGTTCCCACTCAAGTTTATGAAAGATATGTCCCAGTTCTGCACTCCTGTCCTGCTGTATTAATGCGGAGACTTCCTTGGACAGTAAGCTATGTTCTGGGGTAAGTTTTAGCCATTGCAGTCATGTGTGACAGTATTATTGATCAAATCCAGGTTTTATTTTGGCTGTTTTGCTGTTCTGGTTACGGGGCTGTATGCTTACATTATTTCCTTTATCATTAGGCAAAGAAAGTCCTCCTATAAGTGATGTCCCAGATGATGTAGATGAGCCTATGCCTGTACCTGAGGACCTTTCAACCAGTACTGGAGGACAGCAGAATTCTAAAAATGAAAGAGCTTTGGGTAAGATGGTTGATCTGCTATGTTAAGAAATTATAGTACAGTGTAGTCTTAAACAAAGCATTGTAGAGCAAACTGGTATATGAGAAAAGACTTTGGTCCCTTCATCCCATTCAGCAGAGTGAAGTCATTCAGCGCTTTCTCCCTCAGCTATGAGGAATATAATCCAAAGGACAACAGGACAAGTTCCTCCTAATGAACTAGGGAAATGTTGCCACTTCTCTAGTTGCTAAAATATGACCAGTGGCATAAAAAGTCCCTAAAGGACCATTAGTTTATGAAACCCTTCTCATTCTGCTTTAGGAATTTATTTTACTGTAAGTTTTGGTAGTGTGTGGTCCAGGGCAAAAGTAGCGTCATTTCAACTTTGTTAAGACTTCAGTGAGCATTCAGGATTTTTTTTTTGGTTCATTATCTTGGCTGTAAGGACCTTTGCTATCCACCTCTGTGGATTTTTTCAAAATTCTCATGCTAGAGCATAAATATTCCTTGTATGTTGTAAATTCTTTTGTTGCTTATTACCTACCTTTGACCAGGCTGCTCTGTGTTCACTGTCACCTGTTGTAAGAGTCCTTTTATTGAGGACACCCTGAAAATCACTTGAGTTTCTCTTAACTGTATAATCTTCACATTGGCCAAGTTCATCAGCTGAAAGCTTATCATAACCAGAATTGATCTGCAAAATGCTACTGACGTTTCTTAGATATAATTGGTACTACACAATCCTATATCAAGTATGTGGACCAGCTGCAAGAATAGCATATGTTTCCCAGAGATGTTGAGGAATTTCCTTTACTAAAGGCATTCCAGAGGAGGCTGAATAAGTACCTGTCTGAGATGGTTTAGGAAAAGCACATCCTGTATCTGTATGTGGGAGTTATATTGGATGACTCTTGAGGTCCCTTCTAACCCTGTGATGCTGTGATTGCTGACTGACAGATATACTTGTCCTGCTAGAGTAATCTCCATGAACCTGTCTGCAGTGCTGTTTGCCACCTGAATGGCATCTTCAAGGGGAAAGATATTTCCAGGGCTATAAAAACAATGTATCTTCTGTCTTCTAGAACTGGGAGCAGTGCCAGAAAAGATATAAATATCTCTTTGGGCAAGAAAAGGCAAGGAATATCATATTATCTTCTGTATGCGTCTGCCAGCATCCAGGTTTTAGCAGTGCTTATCATCTTTTGATTTCCATTTGTATCTGGATGAACAAAGCTACTGGTATGGTAGCAGGAGGAGGAAGAATATAACGCCTGAGTCCCTAGTGTGGCAAAGAATATAAAAACATAGAGTAAGAGAGAGTTAATTCCCTGAGGAGCTTCCAGGATATGGAGAGAAGGATGGGAGGAGAAAAGGAAACACAGGATGGTGAAATGGTTTGCCAAGTGTGATATAGCAGGGCTGTAGTGAGCCAGGAGCAGAAGAACATGGGTTTTGTCCTAATTACCCTAACAGTCTCTTTGGTGCCTTCCCTTTGTTGAACTCTTGATCCAGCATTACTGAAAGTGGGGGTGAATCTTGAGGCTCCTGGAGGTATTTTAGCTCACCTAAAATAAGTGCCCTAGCTTGAAAAGGATAGATGCACAGCTTTTTGGGTAAATTGGGCCTTCTCTTTGAATGCTTGATCCAAGATTTAGAGGTCTGAACCTGAATTCCAAACAGTACCTCCAGACACCTATTGCTTCAAAATGTTGGCCTTAAAACCCCACAATCCCCTAATCCTACAACATATGCAGACCTGGTTTAACTTCCGTTCTGTGTTTCAATAACTAGTAAATGAAACACCCTGTATTGTGATAAGGTATTAATGTCATTTAACTGTTCACAGATTATCTGCACTGGTCCATGATGTGACTTATGTTTGCTGGCAATCCAACTGTCTCCTAGGCTTCACTACCATCCTGAGGCAGCATTGAAAAGTAGTGTGCATCAATAGGGGATTTAAATAAAACAAGCAGTTTATGAAACCTCTAACCCCATCCTCAAGATGTTAGTTAAATTTATTCATCTGTTTAGCATTTCAGAGGTGAAAAGATTAGTGTACCTAAGTGACTTTAGATAAAATTAGAGGCCTTAGGTTTTCTTAGTGTCTCTGCCATTTTTCTTTCCTGGGAAGTTCAACCTCATGTTGCAGAGCCATGGGAAAGAACATTCTGAAGTTCTGTCCCTTGATAAGTGCTTGCTGAGCTGAGTCACCAATTCTTACTGCCTCCTGTACATGAGAGGTGGTGGGGAGAGAAACAGCCGACCAAAAGAAACACGAGTCTTGTTGCCTGGGAAATGTCCAACAGAATCTCCTTTGTTCTTTGGAGGATGCTGTGTGGGTGCTCCAGCTTGTAGACATGATATGAGATAATATGGTGCTAGTTGGTGCCATCCTCTTTTAAGGAAGGGAAAGTTCATCTGTTATAGTTCTGGGTAATAATGACCAATACAGAATGCACCAGCCAAGATAATCACTAGTGAATGGTGATTTTGGAAGCCTTGCTTAAAACCACTTAATGCATTGTGAGTTTCAGAATGTCAGGTCTCAGCAGTTCATGACAATCAGGACCTTTTTAAGTTGTCTCCAGATGGATGCCTAAGAAATGGAGGCAACCAGAATCAGTATTGTTAGAATGAAAGGCAGCTTTGGAAAGTTGGTGAGCACCCATCTGCTATCCTAGAACAGAAGAGCAGAGCCCTAATAAACTGTAGCCTGATCCCTCTAAGCTATTTTACTCCCTTGATCAGCAGTTTGCCCACTCCTGGACCACCGTGATGCTAAGCAGCTTCCCCTCTTTAACCTTTAGGTCTGCTGTTTTGTCTACCAAATCTCCTTCCTTCCTTCTCTCCTTCTCCACCCTAGGTTTCCTTCTCATGCTATATAGGCACCTGTGCCTTTTTTTTGCTTTTTAACTCTGCTCACCCAGAACCAGTAGTCTGAGTTCCTGAAACTTTTCTTCTTAAAACCACTGGTGAGATCTTTAAATGTTTCTGAGGCCCAGATTTTTAAAGGTATCTAGTCAGTGAAGTTCCAGTGAAATCAATGGGGAAGGTGCAGAGTTGAGCCATGGATGCTGTCTGGCTCTAGATGATTCAAGAGTATGAGTTGCACTAAAATCCTATCCTATGGTGGCATAAAAGTGAAGAGATTGCTCCCTTTTCCCATGCTGAAACTGCACCCCCCCTCCCCCGTCATGGAAAAGCTGAGCTGGGATATTTGCCACCCATTCCCACTGCCACCATTCAGGTTTTGGAATAAACATTTAAATTACTTCTGTGAACAGTCAGTGTTGAACTGTGCTTAGCAAGCAGGTACAGGCTTGAAGGTTTTTCTGCCCTGGAATTTGCCATAACTTGAGCCATCTGTGGCCAGCCAGTGACTGAGGTGCACACCCCTGAGTTAGAGAGTGAATGGGGCTATAGGTCCAGGTAGGACTTACCCTAATTTTAGATAAGACTGAAGCTTCCCCCAGTGCAAGCTGCAACTTCCTTTGCTGACACTTGAGGTTTACGTAGGTGTGACTGCATACGAGCGAGTAGCCACAGATGGCTGAAATTAGAGGTAATGTCCAGGAGTAGACAAGCCCTCAAAAGGAGGTTGTGGGCCTAGGCGTTGCTAATATTCTCCCATTGCAGCTCTGTTCTAAAGGCAGGTATCTCTAATGCTCACACACAGCAGTTGCTTTAGGCTTGCAATTCGGAGTCTGAATGAGGGAAGCAGCACTGAAGAGAGTGGGCTCTGCACACAAAAGGCAAAAGTACCAGCTCAGCAGCTGGGGATGGCGATGAACTTGGAATTCCCAGACCACAAGGCAGTTCTTCCTCCCAAGAGGAAGTGGGGAAAACTCCTCTCCCATGGGCTGACAGCATGCTAACATGCCCAAGAATCACAGGCTGACAAGGTCACTGGAGGTCAAAGATTTAATCCAAGGGATGACAGCTTCTATTGCAGTCAGGTCTTTCTGCTTATTTAAAAGAAAAGAGCAGGAAAGTAAGAGCACTATCTCTCCTCTGCTCCTCTGCTGGTACTACCTCCCTCCTACACACTGAAGAACCTGCATAAAAACCTGTTTTGGACCTGGTGTTGTCCAGACTCTGACACAGCCACAGGATCCTTCATTTCCAGCTGCTTTGTTGACTCAGAGGAGTCCATCAACGTCTTGTTGGGACTGATGCATACAAGGATCATCATTCCTGGATTCCCCTGTATATTATTTCCTTAGCAGCTGGCAAATAGGCACTGAGATGCATGGGTGCCTCTGCTCACTAAAATAGCCTTTTACCGGTAACGGGGTAGAGGCAGAGCAAAAGGGAGGGAAGGCTGCTGGAGGAGAAGGGAGGAAAGCAGAAGGGGAAGTACCCCACCCCAGATTGCAACACTAAGTTGCTGTTGGTCCAGACAGGTCTGTATTACTACATCCAACTAATTGCTATCTGGACGGTGGTGTGCAGGGCTTATTTAGAAGAGAAACAGAACAAATGTCTTTGTAGTCACTGGCCCTGTTTCCTCCAGTTGGACTCTGGTAGTCATGAAGGGTGTGTGCTGTATCTCTATATGGCGTATAACAATTTGGAGAAAATGGAAAACCAGGGTGCACTTAAAGGAATTACTCACAAGGGCTGACCTCCCTCTCAGCAACACTAAATGGCAGTGCTGAGAGGAGTCTGTGAGACTTATGCCAAAAAATTCTAGACCAGCTCCATCAGAAATGCTTGGAGAAGACATAAAAGTTCATATTTGGGATGTTCTATTAGACTTCATGAGATAATGGGATTCCTGCAGTGTCAACAGTCCAAATGAAGAAGCTTCTGAAGGGGTGGTAAAAATTGTTACTGACACGTTTTAGAAACTTTTAAAAATAGGGAAGTTGGGAATCTCCCCTCAGATACAGTCTAAAGCTCCAATTTCTGCCCCTAAATAGTCATGAGATATTGGACCTTAAACCTGTCACTGGTAAAGGACTGATCATTGCCTGCCCTGGGACCTGGGCCAGTATAAATTTTGTGGGGAAATTCCA